AGTGCTGGAAAAGATAGAGATCTATTAAGATCTCTTCTTGGAACTAGAATAGATGGAGAACCTCCTCTTCCTCACTAGGATTGTAACTTTGCCTCTAACTTCTTTCATGCGCCAAATTCTTGAGAAAAGCTTATGCTCATTCTTTAGCCAGAGACCTGAGTCCTCAGGGAATGAATATAAGAGACTTTTGCTGGGAGAATATCTGGCTCCCAATAGTACCAGTTGGTTCCTGGGCCATATTCTTAAAATAGAAAAATGATAAATTACAGCTCTGCCAAGACTTCATTTGGTGTAATCCAGAGAATATGTTTTTAAGTGTCTGAAGGGCTCAGCCACAGGAATCTTGATGGTACCAGCCAAGATATCTGAGGTCCAAGGATGGCAAACCCTAGGGACCATCCAGTACTCATGGGGGGATTCCAGCTAAATAGAAGCTGGGATTCGGACATGTCTGGGCAGGTCTGCTGATACACAGAGCAGGCATGCCTGGAGTCTATTTACATGACAACTTTTGGCTGAAGAATGACTGTGCTGATCTGAATGGAAAGTGGAATGGGAAGACAGAAATGTGTCTGTCTCAGGACCCAAGTTTTGAAAAATGTTCTTCAATAAATGAGTTTATTATTTAAATAATATACCATATTTTTACAGCTAGTAATTGCATAATTTACACTAGGATTTTTTTTTTGAAAGAGATTTATTTATTTTGTGTGAGGAAGATCAGCCCTGAGCTAACATCCATGCTAATCCTCCTCTTTTTGCTGAGGAAGACCCGCTCTGAGCTAACATCTATTGCCAATCCTCCTCCTTTTTTTTTCCCCCAAAGCCCCCGTAAATAGTTGTATGTCATAGTTGCACATCCTTCTAGTTGCTGTATGTGGGACGCGGCCTCAGCATGGCGGGAGAAGAGGTGTGTCGGTGCGTGCCTGGGACCCAAACCCCGGGCCACCAGTATCAGAGAGCGCGCACTTAACTGCTAAGCCACGGGGCGGCCCTACACTAGGATTTTTAATAGTTTGGAAATAGTTCATTACCCTCTTTAGGAATCTATAGTCCTCATGTAGGAAATCATATTAAAATTGAAGAAGATGATTTAATTTAGTTTATTACCAGGGATTGTGTTGGGTGTGTGAATAAAAGGACAAAAGGCACATTTTGTGGCTTTGAAAATGTTGGTAGGAAGTGAATTTTTTCTAGATTTCTATGGGAAATAATATATCTAAACCTGTTATTTTGAACTGTGCACTTTTGCTACAGCACCTAGAACATCGTGAAGTTTTGTTAAATATTAACATGGCTAAAATACTTTAAAATTATATTTACCTTCCATTAAAAAAAAAAATGTTTGCTCTGGTGCTTCTGGTCTTCATTGGTGCCATTCCTCATTCATTGCATTTTCAAGGTAGAGTTTGGTTGATGAGCCACGATTCCACCTTTTTTTTCTATAGTTAATAACAATTATTTTAATCCTAGAGGACACTTCTTTACTGACTGATTTTCATATGCCAGGCACTGATCTAAGCCCTTTATACATCTTAGCTCTTTTAATCCTCACAACATTGTTATGAGGGAGACACTTTCATTATCATTATTACGTACAGGGAAACTGAGGCACGGAGAGGCTAAATTACTTGTCCAAATAATAGATAGCAAGCAGTGGGGAGTGTGGAGTTTTGGGTGTTTGGAGTGTTTTAGAAAAGCTACTAATCGCTCTAAATTTTAAGATGATTACAGAAAAGAAAAGGCTGTTTCTCATCTTGGTTATGGTTTAGGTGTCAGGAATTCTCTCATTGCCAATTTTGATTCTTTAAGTAGCCTTGGTAAAGTTATTGGAATTATTTTCTGGAGTCTTTTGGTTGTACAAAATGATTTTTTTAATGACTCTGACATTTCAGTTGCTTTCCAAGAGAATGGGAGAAGCAGTCTACTGTGCACCTCTCCTTGGAGTGACTTTTTAAAATTTTAAACTTTTTATTTGGATATAATATCAAACTTACAGAAAAGTTGCAAAAATATAGTTGTAAAAATACCTAAATATGGGGCTGGCCCTGTGGCGTAGTGGTTAAGTTCGTGTGCTCCGCTTTGGCAGCCTGGGGTTTGTGGGTTTGGATCCTGGGCGTGGACCTATGCACCACTTATCAAGCGATGCTGTGGCGGCACCCCATATAAAGTAGAGGAAGGTGGGCACGGATGTTAGCCCAGGGCCAATCTTCCTCAGCAAAAAGAGGAGGATTGGCAACAGGTGTTAGCTCAGGGCTAATCTTCCTCACACGCACACATACAAAAAGCCCAAATACCTTTTACTCAGATTCACTTATTGTTAACATTTTACTCTACTTCATTTATCGTTTGTGTGCTTTCTCTTTGAATATATTTGGGAAAAAACCTAAATAAACCTATATTTTTTCTTTCTAAATCATTCAAGGGTAAGGTACATACATTTTGGTCCCTTCCCCTTAATACTTCACTGGATATTTCCTAAGTATAAGGATATTCTCTTACATAACCATAGTATAGTAATCAATTTCAGTACATTTGACATTGCTACAATACTTTAATCTAAGGACAGTATTCCAGTTTTGTCAGTTGGCCTAACAGTGTCATTTATAGCATTTTTCCCCCTTGGTTACAGGATCCAGTCTAAGGCCAGGTGCTGCATTTAGCTGTCATGTTTGAGAATGATTCTAATTATGCCAGATTTTACTTTCCCCATACTCTAGGAACCATTCCCATACAGCACATAAAAATCTTAATTTAAATGGACACCTGATGAAAATTATTCTGATAGATTTTTCATTATTACTTGATATTTTGCAATTCCTAATGATGATTATGATGTAGTCATACTCATCAAAACTAGTTACTAGCAACTATTTCTATTAATTCCATTATATGCCTAAGTGAATTAGACTTTTCTGAGTCATAGTTGAAATTTAACAATAGCCTAATGATATTAATTTTAATTTTAAAAGAGACTTCTATTTTTTGGTACTAATTAGCCTAATACAGGGTTACTGGAAAAGCAGGAAACTCCAAGAAGGAAAATGAAGTACTGTCTGGTGTTTGAGAGGAATGATTGATGCTGACAAATACGAAATACAAATTTTAAATAAATAATCCGGATGTTGTTTAAAAGGCAAGCTGTTGATTTTATCACTCCCCGTTGCCAAGACACACATCGGTGTCTGCTATATTTGACGTTTTTACTCTGATCGTCAGTGGCAGCTTTAAAGCGTCTGCAGCATCCCAGGACAAAGTAACAAATCAACTCCAGGAAAGGCTGTGAAACTATATCTGCCAGCTCTCTTTCGTTTCCCAAAAGCCCATCCCTAGTGGCAAGCCAGTAGCTCCTGGGCATTGGAGAAGTTACGACCCTTGTCTTCCTGCAATTAATGGCAGCCTGTGTGTCTGCACCTCCTTCCCCTTTCTCTGGAAACTGGGGCTGAAGGCTAACAAAACCCTCTGGGCTCCTCATCATACAAACTCCGCCTACCCCAGAGGCCCCTCTGCCTCCACCAAATTTCTCATTTGGTGACCACAGTTGAAGACTGTGTCAGTCTTCCATAATCATTTTTAATACACAGTTATTTACATTAAAGACGGTTTTCACAAAAGGGATAAACTTCTAAGAACTTGGGTCATGGTCTTTGAAAGAAAGAACATATTTGTTTAGCCATGTTGGCAATATTGACTGCTTTTTGCTCTTTCCTTTCCACAGTCCTCATTCTCACTTCTTTGCATGTTGCACTTCTTCAGCATTTTTAATATATTTAGGCAATGAACTAGCACACAATGAATTAAAAACTTGTATTAACTAGTTATTACTATGTATTACATTTTACAAGGACCACTGATTGATGCCCCAAATGCCAATCTGAGGCTCTAATAGTGTGACTTGGCCGTCTAACTTAAACTGCAAAATATTGACACACGTCCTCTTACCTTGAGAGTGCCATTACTTAATCCCCATGAACCATGGACATCATTGTGGAAATCCACTCCCACCCTATCCTCACCACACCCAAGTCCCTAGAATTCCAACACTATAATGCCTATTTCTGTAGTTGATATTCTGATTTCTAGAATGTGCTTGTCCAATATTAGTCTATTTTCACTTTTCCTTGTGATGTGCTATGTTTTTTAAAGATCTAAGATCCACTTTATTTAGAGGAAGAAAGATAAAGGGTGTCCCTGGCTATGGAGATGAGCTTGCAACAAGGATAGCTAAGAAGATGGTCTTTTTAAAGAGGAAACTTTAGGCTTGGTACATTGCAGGGAGGAACCCACACCTACAGTCTGTTTCTTCGCACGGTTAGTGACAGGTATGCTGTTACTCCTACAAAGGGGTTGCTGGACCTCACATCTTTTTATCTTTTGAACTCTACCGAGGTAATTTCTAATTTACTTTGCTTTGGAGCTTCTACTGTCCTGGCCACCAATTTCAGTGATAACTATATTTCTCAGCAAATGTATCATACACATTTTTACTCAAAAGCCCAAACAACTTCTTTTACATGATCAGCAATTGAGACCATTGGCTTTTTAAAATTTTTTTATTTTTTCACTCATCATTTATTTACAAATACACATTATAACTTTTATATACATTGCACATTTACATGGTAGAAAAGTACAAAACTATATATTTAAATGAATTTATATTTAACTTGCCATGTTTGAAAATATAAAATTGCATCAGAAAAAAGTATTATGAAAAGCAAGAAACTTGAACTGATAAAGCTTTGATATAACTTTTAGTGACACATTGGTTGAAGAAGAACTAATTTAAAAGGTACAGCAGACTAGCTTAAAGGAAACACCTAACGAAAGGATGAATGTGTAGCATTCCGCTTCCTTCAGTTTCCCGACACCCATATCACTCAATTTCTTTGGATCTGTAACATCTTAAAAGTACATTACTAGTATTCTAACATTGCTATCATCCCCTCTCTCGCAAATGTCTTCATCACAACAAGAGAACCGAAGTAGGAGTTTCCCCAAAGATGTATCCTCTGTACCTTCTATTTGAGTCAGTTATAATGGCTTTTGGTCAGTCAAGATTCCTTGTAAACAAAACCCGAGGGATCATGTATGTACAGAACAGGCAGCAGAGAATCCAATAAATAAACATGACAGAAACTGACATGCAAGTTTGTTAAAGTGGAAAAGAGTCTAACAACAGTGAAATGAAGGGAGACAGATGAGTGAGTGAATAGTAAGGAATGGACTTAAATGGTTTACAAGGAAAAAAAAAAGCTTTTACTTTACAAGCAAGAGACCTCACAATAAATAACAACTGCTCTTCCTTTCACGAATAAATTTCTTCAAAAACAAGGTGTACAGTCAACCAGACATTTTATGTATAAATTATAAAACATGACACAGTATAAATAAATGTCTACAAGTCTCAACTATGGGCCTCATCCAGTAGACCTCACAATGACCGTCTCTCCGAGTCCAATGAGTAACAAGGTGGCCTGGGAGAGAGCTTTAGGACCAAGGTCCTTTATGTATCGTTTCCCCCCAAATAAATAAGCATACACTTATTTACAGTATGGACAATATATTTTTTCTTTTCTTTTCTTTTCTTTCCTTTTTTTTTTTTTCTTTTTTGCCCAAAGGCTATATCAACACTGAACATGGATGGAGGGTTTACCACTCTAGAATGGAAGATATAGGAAAGCTGTAGTCCTGGTCTTCATCTTCCTCCTCTTCCTCGGTGTCTTCCGAAATGGCTAGATGGGGGAATACAGGGGAGCTGTTGTTTAAATACGGACAACAACAGCGCAGAAGCAGCTCAGTGTATGTTTTCAAAGCCCTCTGATACAGCCATATTACAGCGTTGCATTTTTATGTGACTTGCAGTGTGATGCTTTTTTTTTTGGCATCTGCTGTTATGCAATAAGTTTAAAAAATTTTTTTTTTTAAAAACATAATCTATGAAGTCAAAAACTGCAGAAAGTTCTGAAGAATCAATGGCTCAGGTTTTACGGGCAGATTCCTGAAATCAGATAAAAAGCGCTCTTGTGTTCTAGGTATAACTGCTTTGGGTCCTTAATTCAGTTAGTAAAGGCAACTGCGAAAAGCAGCAGCCCGTGTGTGATACTATAAAGCTGTCTTTGAAAAAGAAAAAAAAAAACAACTTTTGAAGCAGTTAGTTTAGATTCAAGTGTTAATAAAGCAAACAGCAAAGCACACTACTAAAGCAAAAGAATTAGGGGCAAATGACTGGAAATAGGTTTGTAGAGCAACCCCGTTGATGATCATTGGACAAGTCCTAAAAGCCAGGAAACATTCCATGGAATTTTACTGTGGATTACTGAATTGCTGGTGAAATTTAGCAGCTACCTAACTTAAACTGAAATGGGCTTACATGGGGAGATTTCTGGGCTTTTTATATCTCCATTCCCTAGGGCTTGCCTGGGAAAGCCTTACATTTCAGCAAGGTTAAATATGAAACTTACAGTTGCAAGATCCGGAATGCTTTACTTCCAGCAGCACACCTGAGGAGCAGGCAGCTTCCTTCATGGCACACTCGCTGGCGTAAGTGGCATTGTCACTGGCACAGACAGGCTCCTCAGACTTACTGTCAGGGCACAGCTCATCGCAGAGGGAACACCGGCCTCTGCCAACCTTGAAATCCCATAAACACTTTTTTCCACCAGTGCACTGGATATCTTCACAGGACTTTGCTTCTAGGATATAATACACCTGTGATGAGTAAATCCATTTCCCCTGTTCCCCTTTTCTCCCTTTATCTAGTCCCCTATCAACATAAACATATAAACATATAACATATCTTAATACTCACTAGTGAGGGTAATGGAAATATTACGAAAAAATGCTTGAAAATAAAACTGAAACTCACACACACACACACAGACATACACAAACCCCCAGTTTCCTACATACTGTATTAGTGCATGAAAATAGTATTTTTTTGGAACAGGATTTCACAGTATCCTTGAGTTAAACATGTGTTTGATTACTTCCCACAAGTGGGATCTTTTAAAAAAGAATTCCATCAGTTATCAGAATCTGATAACAGATTTGAGGAACTGTTAAGTAATTATTTCTTGCTTCCAGCAAGTCTAGCACTTAAAAAAATGTGTAAAATCAAGTGAGTTCTAAGTTTTCTAAGACAGAAAATTGTTTCCTGTTTCTTGCTGGCATTTCAATATATATGCCATAGCTTCCGGAAGACAATGGTTTCTTTGAGGAATGCTGTGGTCAAGACAGTTTACCCAAACTGGAGAGTTTTTCTCCCTTTGGTGAAACTGTGCCTTTGGGGAGGTTTTGGGCTTATTTATTGGTTAACCTCACAGTTTTAATACTGGAACTAGCCTTTTTGATCCTGTTTTCTTTTTTCCTTCCTCAATCCAGAATACCTACTGACACACTTTCCCTCATAGGCTAATCCAATCGATCTGCCCAGTAGGCAGGTGGCCTTTCTCAGGTGACAGGCACTGGAGTAGGTCACTCCATCATTCCCACAGAGATACTGTTCAGAGGAGGTGGGCTCTGGGCAAATCCGGTTACATGTCACACAGTAGGCATTATTCGTCTGGTCCACCACGCATGTGGAGCTGCCTGGACAGTTAACATCCCGACAGGTCTCTGAAACAAAGAAGGAAACACACATGAATAGGCACCTTCTGGTCCTTAGGGACAGAGAATTTGATACTATCAAGGAAATCATAAAATGGAAGCATCCAGCTTTCAAAAAGCACTTTGGGAGCCCTGTGGTTTACAAGAGAAAATCTATGACTCTATGACTCTACATTGGTCCCTTCAGTGTTCTTAAGGAGTCTTTAGAAGTTAGAAAAGGGGTCCTTTATTTGGGATCATTGTTATTACTGTTAGGCTCTTATTGTGGACTACATCATCCCCCAGGGGTCTTCCAGTGGGTCTACCTCAAGCAGAAAGCTGAAGGAGGGAGCCCGGTAGGACCTACTTTTACATTTGCCCTGGTACTGGACTTCCAGTTCTGGCTGCTCTTTACATCTGGCCTTGAGGAGCGCACATTCGTTGCGGTAGGTTTTCCCGTCCAGCCCACAGACTGGGCCTTTCCAGGTGATGTTGGAACAATCTGGGGCGCAGACGCAGCGGGGCTTATTCTTCTTGTTCATTCGGCATTTTTTTCCTGGTCCACAGTCCACGTTTTCGCACGTTTCTACGAGTTGGAAAGAGACATGGATTAAAACCAGGGCCAGGCAGTATGCAGGTCAGCCAGGAGGTCTGTGGGCTCCTTGCGCAATCATGCAGCCATTGGTTCGTGCCGGAGGGGCCTAGGCGCCCTCCTAGAAGTCCAGGCGGCGGACAGTGGGGCTGCGCCCCATACCCAAATCTCTCTCAAAGAGCGCAGGTTAGCTGGCTTCACCACCACGCTTGGCTAAGAAGTCCCGGAACCTCTGCCGACCTTGTTTTGCCTGTAGTCTGTAACACGCAAGATGCAACCCGAACGGCTTACCAGGGCTGGGGGAAGACAGGGGGAAGCCACGAACAAAGCTCTCCTAGTCCCAAACTCCAGCTGGGCAGTAGGGAAGCTGAGGGTAAGACGCCCTCTACTGAAGGCCTGCAAACTGGGGAGGAAGAATCCTACCTTTACAGGGGATGCAGTTGGGGGCGCCCCCGTTGAAAATCATCCATTTGAAGAGCGTGTTGTCATTTACGTCCTCCTCGGTCCACGAGGTGCTCAGGCGGCCGGTGCTGCAGCACTCCTCCTTGCTCAGTTCTGTCTTGTACAGGACCTGGCAGCGGCCGTTCTTCGCTTGGCGGAGCCAGCAATTCCCAGCTGCGAGGAGACAGGGGTAGGGAGGTGGGTGAGTGAGCACGGGGTAGGGGGAGGGAGGTAGCGGGGCGTGCAAGGTTAGGGGACCAGCGGAGATGGGGAGGGAGCGAGCGTGTAGGAGGAAAAGAGACAGACGGGAGAGAAAAGCAGAAAATAAATCGAAGGGAGTGAAGGAGTGGGGAAAGGGTGAAAAAGCCCAGATTGAAGAGGTGGGAGGTGGGCGAGGGGGAGGGAGGGCGAGCGCGAGAAGCCAGAGCGCCCGAGCCATATCAATGTCAGTTACCAGTGACCCAGACACAACACGTGCAGCTTGCATTGACTTTTACTAGACTGTTTACTTTTATTCGTCCCATTTCATAACCTGCAGCGACTCGAACAGCAGATTAAAGAACCTGACAAAAACAGGATGCGACGGATGTTTTTACATGTTGGTTTCATGTAGGCGGTACGGGAATTATTTGTGACAGGGGTTAAGAAAGTAGGAGAACTTGAGAGAGAGAGAAAGAAAGAGAGAGCGCGCGAGGCAGACACAGACACACACACACACACACACACACACACACACACACACACAGACACACACACACACAGGAACAGATCAAGCAAGAGGCACTTGTGAAAAATGAAAGCAAAAAAGCAACCGGGCCCTGCCCGGAACTGCCCCGCGCGGCCTCGACCTCGAGGCGCAGCCCGCCCGACGGGCCCGTTTTGCAATCCGCCAGACCCAGAGGACGCCCGCGGCCACCGCGATCTTTCGAAATCTCCGAGGGCTGCTTTCCCGGGCGCCCACGTTCCCCGCACCCAGGCAGCGCCTCGCCCCGAAAGGCGGGCAACTCGGAGCAGTGCGGTGCAGACGGCGAGGGGCAGTGCCCAGGGGGACGGTTTACAACACAATTAAAATGTTAACTCTAAAGCAAGGCAAGTTACACGTCTGCCTCAAGAAAACTGCAGGGGAAAAAAGTAAAGGGGGGAGAGTCTTCCTACCATTTCACGGTAACATATACCTATCTCACATCTACCAAGAAATCTTTGCAAGTAATTTTTCCTCCTTCCCCCTTCTTAATGTTCGGATTTTGTTCAGAAAGACTTCTCATGGATTATCTATATAACTTTAACAATAACTGGACCGCAAGCTGCTATTATTATTTAAAAAGAATTCTACCCGAAGACTAATTGAAATAAATCTAATTTTAAAAAATAAAGTTTAGAAATTTGCTATTAATGCATCTCAGAATTTAAATCAGTTGTGGGTTTCTCACTGTTCTACAGAAAGTTAACAGAGGAATGAGGCAAAGGGGAAAAAACCTGTAAACCAGTCAAAACACTCGGGGTAATAATTTGGGTCTTTTTTTTTTTCTTTTCGGGGTTGGGGGAGGGGGTTGGAAGAAGCGTCCACTAAGCAGAAAGCTACTTCCCTCTAAAATTTTCAGCACCCACATTTCCAAGTTTGGGCAAAGTTTCTGAAATCACGTTCCCCAGCCATCAAAGAAATTTCAGTATGCCCCCCGACCCCCACTCTTAAAATTTTTAAAAGTATCCAAAAGATGTAGGAGGGAGAGAGGTTAGATTGCAAATGTGTCGACAGAAATCTCCAGGCTACTGATGCTTGTCTCCTTCTTCAGAGCCAAACAGGGGAGATAACATCTAAACTCATAATGTCCAGAACTTAGAGCATCTAATCCTAACTAATGAGCGACTCCAGCTCACTCCCTTTCCTTTTAGGATAACCGCGCTCCAAACTCGGCTCCCAGTCCTAGAGTGTCACTGCCTTCAGTTTTCCCACTTCTCTCCATCCCAGAGTCGATAAGTTGGTCCAACATCTTCTGAGAGCAGCGTTGCTCAGAACAGACCAAGTGGAGACGACAGAAAAGTACAAACCCCTGCCCAAGCCGAGCCTCCCAGCGCATCCCGCCTCGCTTACCCTGGGCGCTGCGGTCCTCCATGAACTGGCAGAGCAGCAGCAGCAGGAGGCAAAGCCCGCCGGGCTGGTGCCTGGGACGGACCA